GATGGTAGGCTCCACAAAACAGTAAAACCAGCTTTCCTGTGTCTTCGCATTTCATGCTAGAAGCCGGGAAGTGAACGCATTGCACTTTGAACTATTTCGCATATTTTAATGATCTCGTAGTAGACAGACGGCAAAGTCACAATAAATGCTAAGTAACTGAAGCGTCCCTGTAAACACCATCACAAAATACATATTTATTGCTCTGTGACTAATAACGCTGACATATACCAGACGGCGTCCATCTTCAGACTCATACAGCGGGGCGCCACGAATTCTCCATCGGTATTGCAGCGGGCAATCAGGTCGATATTTTCGCCATTCTTGCCAAAAGTATTTCCCGCTATCACCGAAATAAAGGCTCGCTATTTTGTTTGCTAATAGCTGCCACCCGTCCTTGTTCTGCGCCACATGATTCCACGTAAGATCTTATTTATTTACGCTTCATTTTAATATTATACCGCAATCTGCGTCTGGCCGTACCAGGCGACTGGTTCTCATTGCGAGTATAACACCGCCAGCCAATCGACTGAAGACGTGAGTCGATCCAACTTAATGCGGGCGAAATAAATTGTCACGCGTGTTAATTGTGGGCGTGGTACAGGGCCCAGGTTCGTTCCCTGCGGAAGCTCATTCTGCCTTTCGACTGCTGATCGACGCGACGTTCTGGTTTACAATTCTCCTCACCTGCTCACAGAAACGACCGACAAACTTCCACCTCGTCAGCCGAAATGCGCCGAATAAATAAGAGAATGCGAGGCATTTCAACATCCGCGAGGTTTTGTTCTGTCCATTCTATGTTGGGACCCGCGGCAAACCTTCCGAGGCACAGACAGACGCACATGGGCCCATCCGAACATTCATTCATTATGAGCTTCATCTTCTGTTTAAGACAAGCAAAGTGGAAAGAGGACACTCGGAAGACCAAGGAGTAGATGAAAGGATAACATTAAACAGCATAATAAAATGTGTGAGGACGTTGACTTAATTCACGTGGTTCAGGACAGGGGCTATGACGGGATATCGCAAACACGGTAACGAAACGTCGTATTCCAATTAAATGCATGGAAATTTTTCCTCTCGTTGGGCGCACTCTTAGATTCTCAAGGACCCAAGGAGCTGGAACAAGGTAAATAATACATAGGAATAAAATGAAACAGCTGGCAGGCACTAAAATTAATCGCTGCCTTATTTATGGCAAGAAAAAACATGGCTTACCTCCTCCATTAGCTATTACATCTCTTATTGCGGAAGCCAAGGCCTACTCAAAAATTCCTTTCGCTTCCTCTTCTATCCGTTTTCATTGCACAAGTACTCAATTAAGAGACCTACAATATTAAAATGTGTTGATAAATCTGACACTAAATGTAATAAAAATTCAATTCCTTTATTAGAGTGTTTGCCAACAGCAAAGAGCCTATGACAGGCAAACACTAAGACAAAGGTACAAGAAAAAATACAAATTAAATACAAAAACAAATAAACTACCAATGAAAACACTAATATACGTAAATGCAAAACACTAAAAAATACTGAAACAATACAAGGAAGGAACATAGAAGCTATAATAAAATTAAAACAAATAACCAAGCTATATCTAATCTAGACCACCTTCTAGATCATTTCTCTTAACGAGAAAGTGTCCTCAAAAGAAACAATGTTTATGCCAAATACATCCGAAAATTGGCATACGTCATTTGCAGCAATGACACGCCTGTGAGGACGTTGACTTAATTCACGTGGTTCAGGACAGGGGCTATGACGGGATATCGCAAACACGGTAACGAAACGTCGTATTCCAATTAAATGCATGGAAATTTTTCCTCTCGTTGGGCGCACTCTTAGATTCTCAAGGACCCAAGGAGCTGGAACAAGGTAAATAATACATAGGAATAAAATGAAACAGCTGGCAGGCACTAAAATTAATCGCTGCCTTATTTATGGCAAGAAAAAACATGGCTTACCTCCTCCATTAGCTATTACATCTCTTATTGCGGAAGCCAAGGCCTACTCAAAAATTCCTTTCGCTTCCTCTTCTATCCGTTTTCATTGCACAAGTACTCAATTAAGAGACCTACAATATTAAAATGTGTTGATAAATCTGACACTAAATGTAATAAAAATTCAATTCCTTTATTAGAGTGTTTGCCAACAGCAAAGAGCCTATGACAGGCAAACACTAAGACAAAGGTACAAGAAAAAATACAAATTAAATACAAAAACAAATAAACTACCAATGAAAACACTAATATACGTAAATGCAAAACACTAAAAAATACTGAAACAATACAAGGAAGGAACATAGAAGCTATAATAAAATTAAAACAAATAACCAAGCTATATCTAATCTAGACCACCTTCTAGATCATTTCTCTTAACGAGAAAGTGTCCTCAAAAGAAACAATGTTTATGCCAAATACATCCGAAAATTGGCATACGTCATTTGCAGCAATGACACGCCTGGCACCTGTCTAAGTGCATTGCACACACTAAAAGTAGAAAATTCTC